ATGTATATAGGTTAGGTTAGGTATCTATTCTACTCAAGTGAAAAGCCAATGCCATGTCATTATTTATTATTTTGAGGTTGGTAACATCATAGTGAAAACATACATTTAATTCAAAACCAAAAAGTTCTAACTAAGTGAAAAAAAAAATATTAACAACCAAAAGGTTCTATCTGAAGAACTTTTTGGTTCTTAACGGAAATTGTTTACATTTTTGTTTTTCTTACGTTACATTTTGATTTTAAGAAAACTAAATCGCTAGTGTTAACTCAGAACAACTTTGTGAATTTTTAGATGTGCTAATCATTAAAAATCATTCATTACGAAAAAAGATAATGCAGTTTTAAGTTGAAAATAGTTTAAAATGGCCCTCCTGAACAATTTGATATTTTGAGATAGCACCTTTTGGTTCTGAGCCCACGATATGTATATGTATACATTTATAATTATAATTCAAGTACAATTAGAATCGTACCTAATATTAAAATATTAACATTAAATTATTTAAAAATTATATTAATTGACATTTAGATACCTACTAAAAATACTCAAAAACTTACCTGCAACAATTAAATGTTATAAAAGTAATAAACAATCTTAACTTCAAAATCACCACCTAGCCTAGTCTTTAAACTTTATATGGTACTAATTTATGAAAATTGTTACTGTAGGTACCTAATTATTATTTATTGTGTGTTTATAAACAAAGTAATATTTTTATATGTTTATAAGCCTAGTTTATACATTCATAAATAAATATGATACCAATAATTGTATATGAAACTGCGTATTATGACAAACTATAAAAAAAATTAATTTACCGGTAGTCCATCAATCGCTCTTGAAAAATCCATTCTGGATTGTTGTTCTACACTTCTCAAATGGTCTGAAAATAAATAAAATATTTTTTAACTATAAATATGCTTCAATTATTTCTTTGTATCGATAATTATACTAAATTTTATTACTTACCATAGAATACATATAAAGGCGGATGTTGTCCCATACGGCGTAAAAGTGATTCGTGGTACGACTCAATAAAATTATTTGTCCTATGCCGCAGTCTATATACTGAAAATCTTGGAGGACCCACAATGTCCATCCAATAATGCTGGAAGTATATAATCAGAACATTCAACTCATTGTTCAAGTTGTACTGATTTACTGAAAATAAAACAGCTTTTTTAGATACAAATAACAATTTAAATGATCATCAATTACTCACCCAAATTTTGAATGTTCAAGAAACCTAGGCTTATAGAAAACTGGTTCCCATGGTATTCTACCATATCAGATGGTAAATGTGGTAAAGCCATCAACTGTAAGCATTACATTTGTATATAGTTTATTATAGAGTATAAGTATATCAACAGTGTTTCCGAAACGCTCGAAAAGTTTTTTTGACCGTTGACCGAACCTCGAAAAAAAAACACCCGAATATTTTCTAAGTGTTTGGAACGGCGCGACGCGTTCAGAGTCCCGGGAGACCGTACGTCGGTCTCCGGGTCGTATTTTTTCCAAGTGTTTGAAACGGCGCGACGCGTTCAGAGTCCCGGGAGACCGTACGTCGGTCTCCGGTTTCTTTTTTTTTCTAAGTGTTTGAAACGGCGCGACGCGTTCAGAGTCCCGGGAGACCGTACGTCGGTCTCCGGGTCGTATTTTTTCCAAGTGTTTGAAACGGCGCGACGCGTTCAGAGTCCCAGGAGACCGTACGGCGGTCTCCCTGCCGTATTTTTTCTAAGTGTTTTCGAAACGTTCGAAAAATTTTTCGATCGTTGACCGAACCTCGAGAAGGGGACCAGACACACAAAAAACGTAGAAATGACGATTGCCAACCGTCGACATTTCTACGTTTTTTGTGTTTCTGGTCCCTTTCTCGAGGTTCGGTCAACACTCTCGAAAAAAAAAACACCCGAATATTTTCTAAGTGTTTGGAACTTCGGGACACGTTCTCGGTCTCCGAGCGCTCGTAACGGGCAGAGATCGGCTTCGGATGCTGAAACGTCGGAAATACGTCGAAAACCGGCGTTTCGACGATAAGTCGGCGACTTGTCGCCGATGTTTCGACAAAAAGTCGAGAATCCCAGGAGACCGTACGGCGGTCTCCCTGCCGTATTTTTTCTAAGTGTTTCCGAAACGCTCGAAAAGTTTTTTTGACCGTTGACCGAACCTCGAAAAAAAAACACCCGAATATTTTCTAAGTGTTTGAAACGGCGCGACGCGTTCAGAGTCCCGGGAGACCGTATGTAGGTCTCCGGTTCGTATTTTTTCCAAGTGTTTGAAACAGCGCGACGCGTTCAGAGTCCCGAGAGACCGTACGTCGGTCTCCGGGCCGTATTTTTTCTAAGTGTTTCCGAAACGCTCGAAAAGTTTTTTTGACCGTTGACCGAACCTCGAAAAAAAAACACCCGAATATTTTCTAAGTGTTTGGAACTTCGCGACACGTTCTCGGTCTCCGAGCGCTCGTAACGGGCAGAGATCGGCTTCGGATGCTGAAACGTCGGAAATACGTCGAAAACCGGCGTTTCGACAAAAAGTCGGCGACGCGTCGCCCGACGTCGAAAAAAAATCCGATCGGGTCGGGAAATAAAACGAGAAGACATTTTCTGAAACCCGTGATTTTTTTTGACGCGCACGCGCACGACGTAGACTCGGCGAGTACGTCAAAAACCAGAGCCGGGCATCGGTCGCCTTCGGCAACGTCCGTATCCCCTCCCCGGACGCTGTCGACGGTGCCGACACGTTCCGTCCGATCGGACGTCGAAACGCCGAAAACACGTCGAAAACTGGCGTTTCGACGAAAAGTTGAGCGACTTCGGTGCTCCGACAAAAAGTCGGCGACCCGTCGCCCGACGTCGAAAAAAAATCCGATCGGGTCGGGCAAAAAAAACGAGAAGACATTTTCTGAAACGAGAGATTTTTTTTAACGCGCATGCGCACGACGTTTAAAAGAAATTTCCCCACCACCCCGTACCGGGTCCTTCTTCTCCTATACCTCTCTACCCCCTCCCCCTCCTCCTTATAAAGACGCCGTCGGGTTCCGTTTACAAGTGGAGAATAGAGACTCTTCTTCGTCCTAGTCCTGAGACGGCGAGACGGCCAACGAAAATATAGTAACGTCTCGACGACCCCAAGCGGCGCTGTTGTCAACTACAATAATAGACGTTTAAGAAATTTCCAAATATTAATACGAGATTTGAAAAAAAGGCGTTAAAATATATCCACATGAGATTATTTTCGTTTTCAACTATAACATTGTCATGAAAGACCGTATCTATATAATTAATGTACTTATGGTAAAACTGACTATCGCATGGTTAATGTTATAGTATAATATACCTACTTGAAATATTAAACACATTTATTCCATTAAAAATTATTATTATTATCTGAATGTCGGTTACCGATTACTTATGACTTCGTAGTAATGTAATTTTAATAAAATTATATATCAGACTATATTGTGTTGATCGTATAATAATTAACAACAACGTTGATATTATAATGATTTATGGTTTAGTAGAAAAATAAATTTGTGAAATGTCAAATCGTTGTTTTAACTTACAGGTCGTCTAATCGATATTATTGTATAATTGCGGTATTCTATTGTTTGTTATTGAGTCACTCGCGCGCGTTGAAAATGAAAAGGTCACGTGATCAATTTTTAATGTCCAGCCCGCGCCCATAAATAACGTGTATATATAACAGTCGTGCACGGCTTTAGTTCACATTCATACACAGCATGTAGTGTCATCACTGATTAAATTTGAAGTACTATCATGATTTACAGTTTCACTCATATGAGTAGATAAATGTTTTTTAAAAAAAATAAGCAAATGAAAAGAACGGTTACAATCATTTTCAGCACATATATACATAGAAAAATCATGTGTAGAATGTTTAAATTGAAAATGTTTATTTAAATTTTGAATAGATGACAAGAATTGTTTACATACAAAACAAATAGTCAGATTTATAGCTAGATATAAAAATTATGATAAGAATTGAAATTAAAATTTTGTTCTTGTACCTAAACTAAATAATATAAAATGTTAGTTTAAATTAAGACTTTTAGGCCAACTTTATAAAAATTTAACTTTTTTTTAATAATAATAATATATAAGACCAAAATATTTAAAACAATTTAAAATTAAGTTATTCTTGTATTCCAAGATCACTTATCAAAGAATTGACTGTTACATATTCTGTATCGTAAGTAGTTTGAACTGTATAAAAAGCTTTTTGAATTAAAGTCCATACAGGTAAGTATTCAGTTGGATATTCTGCATTTAGAGCATGTATTACTTTAAAACAACAATCTACAGCAGATACTATAGAGTGTAACTCGTTTTTAAGTATCATTTACAGTCTCATAGTATTGATTTATTTCATTCATTTTAGGATCCACTACAATTACCATTGATTGTAATTTAAGACCGAGTTTGACATATTTCTAATTCCTTCTAGTTATTGCTTCTTGTAACTCGGCTTGAGAACGAATATGAAGAATAAAGTCATCTCGTTTTCGATGGTCTCTAACAAACTATATTCCCTTTTTCCTTTTTGAACTAACTGGAGAAAACAAAAATGGTAATACCAATAATGCTGCCAATGAAGATGTTTCTTCACTATCTAAAATAAAATAAAATATGTTTTGTTAACATCACAAAGAAATTGAATGTCACAGTTTTGGGTTTAATACATTTGAAAATATTATACATACACGCATAATTCATGTGTATAATATAATTAGAACAAAACTATTAACAGATAAATTAATATAAAATAAGGTACTAAATCTAAGGACTCTTTAATGATATCCTTGAGTGTGGTATCTCTTAATGTAGGTAGTTGATGCTGTTTTAGCCTATCGGTGTTTTGATATAAAACAATGGTTATTGCTTACCGGAATTTTTTTCGAGTTTTTTTGTTTAAATCACGGTCAAACGTTGAAATCACTAATACGGATTAATGATACCCGCAGTGTATCTGAAATTCGTTCTATGATCGGTGTTCAAAATGATGATAAAATTTCGTTTTTGAAGCATCGAAAAATTCGTCGAGATTTATTAAATCCCGAATTTTACGTTGTAAAAAAAACAACACAGTCGCCTTGCGAAAATTCCACTACGATGAATTATGGTACTACATGCGGACCAAACGACAAAACTATATACCCGCACAAAGATACTGGGTTGTTGAGTTTTTTCACAGCCAAAATTCAATGTGTCGACGGTGTTCGTGTAAAAACCCAATGTTATACACACGACTTAACACACGAGTACAAATATTCGTGGGGTGTAGATTTTTCTATTAACGTAGACCAATGGCCCAATTCAATTTACGAATGGCAAAGAGACCGTTGTGTAGAACCGACAGATATAATATTAAAGACCTACGTGGTTATCGAATTAAAATGGACAGATGTTATGAGTCGTAGTCAGAATTACAGTTTGCTGGAACAAAGGTTTACGTGTGATCCTCGGCACACGTATTTTTATATAGATTTTAAATACCAAAGAGCCGTACCCGATCAAGATTTTTTGGAAAATTTTATAAACGCCATGATACCCTGCCATACGCAAAAACCGTCTCCGTATGAAGACTCGGAACCGTTTAAATCTCTCATGTCGGTTATTCAAGATATAGATATTTTATCGCCTTCTAACGGTGGGTTACCTATGATTTACGGGTTGTTATTTACAAATATCACCGGGATCAAAAACTTTGGATGGCCGACATACGAAAAACGGTACGTATTACGGCTACAGATTTGAAGGGAACAATGTGATTCGAGAAAAAAAAAGTGGACCGCCTCGTCATTTCAGAAGAGATTTTTATATGAAATATAACTTATATGACCTTATATGAAATACGTACATTGGCCATATGTTCATAATACCGATAGATTGAAAAAAAATTATTTATATCTAATTTTTACTGACGACAAATTACAACTACCGGTTTTCCCTCGTAGTCCGACATTGCCGGATATAAGTTTTTGATGTGTGACGATATACATATATAATAAAACAAAATTTTTTACTTTATCACCTAGAGTGCTAAAAGCAGACGTACACGTAGACGATATTGTAGTTATTTTTTATTTTTGATTTACATAAACAATTCGGACCTGTATATTTTTATGAATAATTAAGACGTTAACGGAGAGTACATCCGTTATTTTTGTTTTTTTATTTTTTGAAAACATCGTGTCGACTTGTAGCACTCCACGTGTTATAAAATTGCGGAGCTCATATAATAGTGTTTGTTATATTTTTATTAAAAATATAAGTAACGCAATCAAAAATACCGTACAGCATTAAAAATAATAACAAAAATTGTGCAATTTTTGTCATATATTTACACATGGTTAGTGATAAATATTTTGCCGTTTTATCGTTTGGATGTATTTCACGTTCTTTTACCAATTCGCGATCGATTTCTTCTTCTAGCTCTACAAAAGTTTCGCTAATAACGTGTATGTTTTTTGTGTCAAACGGTTTTAAAATATTAACAACGTCATTTATCACGGAATGATCGTGTTTTTTTTGTTCTAAATTTTGTAAATCATTTTCTCGATTTTTAACGATTTCTGTTTCATCTGATATAAAAGATTTTCCGTATCCAGCACCACACAAAACGTTAACACATACATATTTTTTTTGATCATCGCTACGAGTAATATTCATGACCGACGACGTTATTTACGGTTTTAATTTTTTGTCATTTTATTACTCTCTTTCTCTCTATCTATATTGACAGTGTCTACTAATTTTTCGTCTGTTTGTAACAGTAAATGGAACTTGTTACGAAAAATATTATTGATTAATTAATAGTTGATGACAATAACAAAAATCGTCTTTTGTCTATAAAGTAAATAGAATATATAGTAATATTGTTCGTCTTGTGTAATATCGGAAAAAAAATGTTTGCATTGGACAACGACACTCATTTACCAGTCATGATTGACTCTCCTACAAAAACACCTTTTATTCAAGACTTAGAAACGTGTAGGTGGTCTTGTCACGTCCATTCAAACTCAGACTGTTCAATGACTTACATCAATGGTATACAATATCACGTGGTTGAGATAAAACCGGTGAATCGTTCGAAATATGCAATAAATGAATATAATAGACCGCCTCCACACTTGCGTAAAGATTTAAATAGTTCGTACGGAAATAATGACTTTTGGGAACCTTTAACTGCTTTTTCTATGGATCCACCCATGATATGTGCGTTTGATAAATGTTCACAAAAATTCGACAAAAACGCTTTGGTTAAAATATTCAATACTATTTTTCGAGGTTTACATGATCGGAATGAACAATTTTTTAAATATAACACACCGTTCGACATGGTACACAAACACATTTTGACGGATGGTTTCGGAAATTTTACATTATGCAATCGTCATCTTTTGTTCAAACACTCGAGACCTAAATTAAAATATATATCGAAACTTTGGGAACGTGGTATATTGAAAACTTTATTTCCTAAACCTGATAATCGCGCATGTGCCCTTAGACGTGCGATCTTGGGTAAACGAAGCTTTGAGTAAATCAAATACTCAAGAACGACAAAGACGGATTAAAAAAATAAAATAAAAACTTCTTAAACATCAATAACGCTATATTTTTAAAATGTAATATACAAGAAATAAACTTTTTTTTTTTTAATAAATTACAAACATTTTGAGTCAATTTTTTTTTTTAATAATTATGAAATTGTTCAAACCCAATATGCACATTAATTTATACATTATACTGTTTATTCAAGCGACTATATTCTGCAGCAGTCAATGGATTACGTTTTTGCCATTCTTGAAGTTTATAAGTAAACATAACTTTTACACCGATAGGAAACTTATTCGATATCAATTGATTAACATCATCTTTGCGTAAGAGTTTCAACACCGTGATTGTGATGAATTGATCTAAACACAAAATTACGCAGTAATAAATATGAACCTCATTAAAATAATATGATTAGATTTAAATAATTAAAAATATCACCAATTAACCGGTCATGTAAAATCTCCAACCTCCACAACTGTAATATTTCACGCAAACGATGACGATCTTCCGCTGGATAAGCATGGTGGTTTTGCATGATTACTCAAGTTATATTTGATTCTTGCTGTTACAGATGTGCGACTATAGATTTGTCAATCAAGATATTCAACAAACGACTATATTGCAACGTAGGAAATATCTTTAAGCGAAAATACTCTAGACCCTTTTATTCCAAATGACCAGACATCGCGGTTTATATTGCAATCTATTTGCACATAAATAGTGGTACGTCGTCTGAAAAATTATATAATAATAATATGGGATTGAGAACTGATCGGTGAACAACAACACGACTGTATCTCATAATATTATAAATACTCCGCTCATTCTCACCAATATTGACCGATTTAATTGTAAACATCTTTAGTCTAGTCTGTCCAATTAGTGTTGAGAAAGTTATAAAAACAAAATATAAATTTGCTCAAACTCAATCGGATCCAATATTAAAAGAAATGTATATACACATATTATAAAGTATCTAATACGTAATATTGTAACCCACTGTGCAGTAAAGAGTTAAATATTACATATACAATTCAATGTCGATCAAAAATAAATATATTTAATTGTGTAATAAAAATAAATTGTTATTTTATAATTATTTTTTTGTTGTTAGTATTTTGTTTCATTGCCGCCTTTTTAAATGTTTAAACATTTTTATTTATTCAATAATAGACTCTTATTTAAGTATATGAGACTTGTTATAATTAATTAGACGCGGTGAAATTTACGAGAATCTGTATCGTTGAACTATTTTCAAAAATGTCCGTATTTAATATTGAATTATTTGTGACAGTTTCATTCGCGTCTGCCGATGTCATTAACTGTTGATGTTTATTGAGGGCGTAATATAAAAAACCGAGTACCTACCGATATCATTGCCAAAATTGTTTTCAAAAACCTATTCCACAACGATTTTATCGTGTAATCGAAATCGTTTTTAGACAGATCTTGTTCCATATCTTTTTCAACATTTGTCTGGAGTTGTTGTAAATTATTTTTTAAATCGTCTAACTGTTTGCTGTTTAGGTTTTTGCCAAGTTCGGCAATTATTTTAGTCATATTAGTTTCGTCTAAAACTAGCTGTTCAGACATTTCGTCAAAAACGCTGACTTTATAATCTTTGGTTTGGATTTCACTAACGTTCGGTACGCCGTATCAAAAGCCGAATAAAACGTCGGTTTTACAATTTTTTTTCTCCGTTGTATAACCCCACCACCAATCCCACCACGACACCGATGACATTTTATTTGAAAACTATGAGATTACGATCGCTAAGCTCAAAAAAAAACTTCTTAAAATCTCGTTATATTAATAATGTATAAACAAGTACTATATATATACTTTATGTACAAACACAACAAAAAAAGGTGGGCGTGTCTTTTTTTTAACAAGCATTGCTGATAAATATTCTATAAAAACGAACGAGCCGTAATGTTTCTCGGTACTCGTACGTTGCACGCATCGCAAATAACACAAAGCGTTCAAAGTGAATGCCGTAACTATTTTGCTATTAACGAAATAATGCAACAATCATTCAATAACGCGTACTCATGACTTCTGTAGTAAATAAATTATGGTGTTGGATGAACGGGTCGTGTAAAGACACTTCCGACGTCACAAATAATATTTTATTCCATAAAAATGTGACGACTGATGACAATTTTTGGGTGAGATTATATTACAATGAATATATTCTAATGTTTATAAATTAAATAATCTTTATATATAAAATAATATATTGTTTTATTACCGGTTTAGATATCTTGTGTTTTAGACTAGTCTTTAGAAGTTAAATATGTAAATGGTTTAATTACAAAGATGATAGACACAGACAAATGTATTATCGACAATAAATATTATTATCAGAAAAATAATCCAAAAGAAATTATTAATTTTGCGTTTGCGGAAAAAAATAGTTCTGTCAGAATGTGTCTTAACAGAAAAAAAAATTCCATTCATTCTGAATGGAAACTAGCAAATTGTTTAATATCTGAAGATTTTCCTCGTCATCAGCCTAAAGTGTACAGTTTTTATTTAATAATAATGAGAACATCGATAATTGTATTGTAATAATTTATCTATATATTTTTTTTATAGATTAAAAATAAACAAATCTATAACTGAAGAAAAAAAAGAATCGGGTTATCAAATTTTTAAATTTGACAACACCGACAACGATAAAATTATTAATTTTGAAGAGTCCGACAAAAATTCAATTAACGACGTTGACGACGTCGACAACAATCAAATCGTTATAGAAATATTAGGCAATGTGCCTATAAATATCAAATTGAGTCAAGAATTAATTGTTCGAGTATTTATATTTATATTTATACATTTATATTTACATTTATCAATGTATTGACAAATTCTGGTTTTTTATACAGATATGTATCAGAAACAATAGTTATGTGGAATCATTAACACTCGACGATTACCAACCAATTCGAAAAAAAAACTCACAATATTTGTCGATAATTATAAATGTAATTTACCGATCATAATCGACGTTCGATCCGAACACATTGTTGACGTTACTCTTAAAGGGATGTAAGTACAAATAATATACTCTTACATTACAATTAATACATATTTTGGTTTTTTTTTTCAAGATATTTAGGAAAATCTACCTAACCTAACCTAACCTAACCTTACCGTACGTAGGTCTCCGGTTCGTATTTTTTCCAAGTGTTTGGAACGGCGCGACGCGTTCAGAGTCCCGGGAGACCGTACGTCGGTCTCCGGTTCGTATTTTTTCTAAGTGTTTGAAACGGCGCGACGCGTTCAGAGTCCCGGGAGACCGTACGTCGGTCTCCGTGTCGTATTTTTTCTAAGTGTTTTCGAAACGTTCGAAAAATTTTTCGATCGTTGACCGAACCTCGAGAAGGGGACCAGACACACAAAAAACGTAGAAATGACGATTGCCAACCGTCGACATTTCTACGTTTTTTGTGTTTCTGGTCCCTTTCTCGAGGTTCGGTCAACACTCTCGAAAAAAAAAACACCCGAATATTTTCTAAGTGTTTGAAACGGCGCGACGCGTTCAGAGTCCCGGGAGACCGTACGTAGGTCTCCGGTTCGTATTTTTTAAAAGTGTTTGGAACGGCGCGACGCGTTCAGAGTCCCGGGAGACCGTACGTCGGTCTCCGGGTCGTATTTTTTCCAAGTGTTTCCGAAACGCTCGAAAATTTTTTTTGACCGTTGACCGAACCTCGAAAAAAAAACACCCGAATATTTTCTAAGTGTTTGGAACTTCGCGACACGTTCTCGGTCTCCGAGCGCTCGTAACGGGCAGAGATCGGCTTCGGATGCTGAAACGTCGGAAATACGTCGAAAACCGGCGTTTCGACGATAAGTCGGCGACTTGTCGCCGATTTTTCGACAAAAAGTCGGCGACGCGTCGCCCGACGTCGAAAAAAAATCCGATCGGGTCGGGAAATAAAACGAGAAGACATTTTCTGAAACCCGTGATTTTTTTTGACGCGCACGCGCACGACGTAGACTCGGCGAGTACGTCAAAAACCAGAGCCGGGCATCGGTCGCCTTCGGCAACGTCCGTATCCCCTCCCCGGACGCTGTCGACGGTGCCGACACGTTCCGTCCGATCGGACGTCGAAACGCCGAAAACACGTCGAAAACCGGCGTTTCGACGAAAAGTTGAGCGACTTCGGTGCTCCGACAAAAAGTCGGCGACCCGTCGCCCGACGTCGAAAAAAAATCCGATCGGGTCGGGCAAAAAAAACGAGAAGACATTTTCTGAAACGAGAGATTTTTTTTAACGCGCATGCGCACGACGTTTAAAAGAAATTTCCCCACCACCCCGTACCGGGTCCTTCTTCTCCTATACCTCTCTACCCCCTCCCCCTCCTCCTTATAAAGACGCCGTCGGGTTCCGTTTACAAGTGGAGAATAGAGACTCTTCTTCGTCCTAGTCCTGAGACGGCGAGACGGCCAACGAAAATATAGTAACGTCTCGACGACCCCAAGCGGCGCTGTTGTCAACTACAATAATAGACGTTTAAGAAATTTCCAAATATTAATACGAGATTTGAAAAGAAAGGCGTTAAAATATATCCACATGAGATTATTTTCGTTTTCAACTATAACATTGTCATGAAAGACCGTATCTATATAATTAATGTACTTATGGTAAAACAGACTATCGCATGGTTAATGTTATAGTATAATATAACTACTTGAAATATTAAACACATTTATTCCATTAAAAATTATTATTATTATCTGAATGTCGGTTACCGATTACTTATGACTTCGTAGTAATAGATATTTAGGAAAATCTACTGAACAAATTGAATTTATTTTCAAAAATATCACTTATGCCGTTGACATAAATATAGATGTAACCGATTCAAGAGTAATTCTTCCGGAAAACATGCCAAAAAAACAAATCTTAACAAATCTTTCAAACAACTTACAATTAAAAACAAATACTTTCTTTTACATAAATTAGAATTTAATAGTCATACAACTTAAACAATAAACTATAAAAATTAAGAAAATTAAAATAAATATCATAAATATAAAAACAACTTTCAATTAAAAAAAAAAAAAACAAAACAAAAACTCAAATATATAATTAATATTTTAAAAACAAAAACTTTTAAATAAAACCATAATTAAAATTAAAATTACATATTTTCCCATGAGTCAATATTTCCTCTGCATAAGGGACAAACAATAAATTGTATAGCATCTCGTTGAAGGCGCAGTACACAAATGAGACAAAATGTATGCCTACAAGGTATCAATATCACAGATTCCTCTTCATCCATGCATATGATGCAGGTTTCAGCAATATCTAAATATAATATACATAAATTACTTAAAATATTAATCTATTTATTTTATTTACTTTCTGGAATTGGTTCTTGAACCGGTGGTAATTGTGGCTGTATCTCTAAAATCAAAGTAAATATCAATAAATAGAATTTTGTTAACTAAATTGTTACTAATTTTATGTTGATTTAATTATTTTCGAAGTACCTTCGTCATCCTCTGATAGTTGGGCAAAGAATTCTGCCCTTGCCTGTGCAGCAAGTCCTCTGGGGACTTGCCCCCTGTCTCTATTGGCTCTTTGCCCTCTTCTAGGATGTATCCTACCCCTTACACGCATTCTTTGCGGACCTTGTTCATCTTAAAAATAAGTATTAATTTAACTTGGCGTCCTTTAATGATTATGTAATTAATATTTTACTTTCAGGAATATGAGCTCTACCTTGTCCCCGCCTTCTTCGTCCACGTTCTTCTGGATTCATTTGATCACCCATTTGTTGAAGTGGTGGTGGCAAAGCTTGTAAATTTAAATCCAAGTCCTGAAGATCATCTGAAATCGATCAATGTTAGATTTAAACTGTAGAACAATTTTAAATGAAATGTGGTCAATGTAAGTGGAATTACTTTATATAAGTGGTAACTTTATATTATCTGTATTTACTCTATATATCTGTACTCTTTGCCCTCAAGGGCGTTATTATTATTTTATTGTAAATTTTTTCTCTTTACAATAAATTATTATTATTATTATTATTATTATTATTTACTAGTGTAAATTAAGTAATGTTAGTATTGCAATGAATAATCATACTAAAAATTCTATTTTTGAATTAAAATTTATTGAAAAGTAAAGTTATTTTTGATTTAAATTATGTGTATAGGATAAAATAATAATAAAACTCACTTTCCACAAATACTGGCTCTCCAATTTCTGCCATCAATATTTGTTCTGGTGTATGTGCTGTATATCTTTGGAATTCATCTAGAGTATACTGACCGTTTTCAGCCCGTAGCCACGCATCATTTAATGTAACCATATTTTGTGGATACATGCGGGAAGTTACTCGTCTCACCTTAAAATAATTAAGACACAATTCATTGTATATAAATAAATATTATATTATTTATTTCTCTAAACATTTACAACATTTGTATATAATATAATATAATAAATGTATATGTATACATTTATAATTATAATTCAAGTACAATTAGAATCGTACCTAATATTAAAATATTAACATTAAATTATTTAAAAATTATATTAATTGACATTTAGATAAATACTAAAAATACTCAAAAACTTACCTGCAACAATTAAATGTTATAAAAGTAATAAACAATCTTAACTTCAAAATCACCACCTAGCCTAGTCTTTAAACTTTATATGGTACTAATTTATGAAAATTGTTACTGTAGGTACCTAATTATTATTTATTGTGTGTTTATAAACAAAGTAATATTTTTATATGTTTATAAGCCTAGTTTATACATTCATAAATAAATATGATACCAATAATTGTTTATGAAACTGCGTATTATGACAAACTATAAAAAAAATTAATTTACCGGTAGTCCATCAATCGCTCTTGAAAAATCCATTCTGGATTGTTGTTCTACACTTCTCAAATGGTCTGAAAATAAATAAAATATTTTTTAACTATAAATATGCTTCAATTATTTTTTTGTATCGATAATTATACTAAATTTTATTACTTACCATAGAATACATATAAAGGCGGATGTTGTCCCATACGGCGTAAAAGTGATTCGTGGTACGACTCAATAAAATTATTTGTCCTATGCCGCAGTCTATATACTGAAAATCTTGGAGGACCCACAATGTCCATCCAATAATGCTGGAAGTATATAATCAGAACATTCAACTCATTGTTCAAGTTGTACTGATTTACTGAAAATAAAACAGCTTTTTTAGATACAAATAACAATTTAAATTATCATCAATTACTCACCCAAATTTTGAATGTTCAAGAAACCTAGGATTATAGAAAACTGGTTCCCATGGTATTCTACCATATCAGATGGTAAATGTGGTAAAGCCATCAACTGTAAGCATTACATTTGTTTATAGTTTATTATAGAGTATAAGTATATCAACAGAGTTTGTTATATTACCATTCTCACTATTCTTCGGGCATTTGCATTGGTGTTACACAATCTTGCCAAATGGTTAGATCGAACGAATCGGATTATACTCTAAATATATTCAATAAATTAACTAATTTTAGGTAATACAATATTTATTTTTAAATTGTATTAACTTACTCTGATGTAATGAAACCAACATCCTGTATTCATACTTTCAGGCATCACCATCATTACTGCATTCCTTAAACCTTGTTCAAAATCCGTAATGACACGCAGATTTTGATACTCAAAATTAAGTTGCAAATCATTACGGACGAATTGCAGAAGTCTACAATATGATTCGGTTGTAGAATCTACCAGCAACCCATGGACTATCGGAATCGCCTAAAATACCAAAAAATATATTCATCCAAACAATTCTACTAAATAGTAAAAGTTTAAAATCTTACAACATTATTTAACACAATTTGTACAGTAATGAGTTGTGCTATGTCAGCAGGATGATTAGGACGCACTTGATATGCACCGTCTATGCAGATGGTACGGACTGTAGAAAAATGAAAATTGTTTGAGCGTAGAAATGCCGAATTAGCAAAAACAATTCCAGCAAATCTGGGAACTCCTCCATCCAGAATATCGAGTCGTCCCTGGAAAAAACGATTGTTGGTTCCATTGCACCATATCAATCGTTCACGCCACTCCGGACGATTTATAATATCTGCCCATTCTTGAAGAGATTCGGGGATTGGTGGGCTCAATCTTCTTCTAGCACGGGCTATAGTCCGAATGGCAGCTGGTCTACCAACAACAACTGCTGCTCTTACATTTCTAAATTTAAAAAAAATTATTTTTACATATTTATACTTGTTTATTGATATAAATAGTTGCTTGACTTAATAGGAAAATAGTTATATACATACTGTGGTGCTACTTCATTATAAATTTGAGCTGGAGTAGCATTTTCTCGACCACCGCGTTCTCTCAATACATTCTCTCTTACATCTAACGAACGTGGATGGTGCAGATGTTGTCGATTTCCAAGAATTATTGGTGCCCCTGGTTCTAACCCCATATGTGCTGTCACTCTACAACCAGCGTATCTTCTGGCACATCGTAGATATCTAAATAAATTAAAAAACTCATTGAATGGTACCTATACATACATAATAATTGATACTGAATAGTTAGTTTACCTGGTATCGCGTACTTCCCAATTCATATGGTACTCATAACCAACGGCATCTCTATAAATAACAGAATTTCGGTTTTCACCTTGTAAGGCCACACTTGGACCACCAAAAATCGGTGGGTAACCATTATCCAATTCGTCTGTTAAACAAACATGTAATATTTTATATTTGTCATAAAACCTAATAATAATAATAATAAACTATTTCTGCAATTTCTACAGTAAATTAATATCTTTTAAATCAAAAGTACCAGTTAAATAATTTTATTATTTATAGACATTTTACTGGCAAAAAATACCAAAATCATTTTTTAGCCCCCCCCCCTCCAAAAAAAAATATATATACATATAACTTAATACAGCCTATGAGTATACTTTTGTAGTTTATTAAGTATTTTAATTATTATAGTATATCAGATACCTATGAGTTCACTTATGAGTAGAGCACAGATTGTATACACTAAAGAGTATCAAAATATTATGTCATTTAATAAGTATTTAGTCAAAATCGTGGAAACATGCAATAAATATGCAAGAAAAAATTTCTTTGAAAAAATTATGGTAGGAAAATACAACATTTTTAATTGATTTACCAATCGAACAATTTATTATAATAATTATTATTAGGTTGTAATATTATATTGATTATTAATAAAGTACATACTTAAAGAAGAAAAAATGTGTTTG